ACTTAGGACATTAGTAAGTGGATGAGTGGAATGGAGCTATCAACTATCAGTAGAAGCTGCATTGTCTCTATTTAGCAGAGCATAGAAGAACACATGCTTTAAAAACTAGAAACAGACTTATGTTTTAGGTTAAGAGAATTTTGATTAGGGAACATTTTGATGTGTAGACTTATTCTTGGAATCTTCCCTATTTGAGGTTTTCAAAGTGTGTTAAAAATGCATTATGATGTTGGGAAATTTGTTTCCTCAGAGAAGCAACAACTAATCATAGGAAGTTTTCATCTTCCAGGTGGCCCTGATTCTCATTGGATTGACAGTGCTGTGCCTTGGGATGGTGATAGCCCCTTTTATTTCCATTACAGTGAAGTTTCCCCTGTGATTGGTATTGATTGCTAACTATGGGCACCTTTCCTTGTATCAGTAATGAGTCCCCTAGCTCAGATGTCAGGTGTTGTCAAATACCTTTATCCCTCTCTCTGGGATACCTGTGTGGAGGAAGCAGCTGAAGCTAGAGACCAACCATTTCTGTGGGGCAGTAAGAGGTTAATGTGTGCCCCTGACAAACAAGCTGCCCCAGCTCAGAGTACACCAAAGCGTAAGGCTATCCAAACAATGCATTTCTAGGCAGGGACATGCCATGTGACTTTATCTTGCTAAATGTATCAATAAATGCCACTACGGAGGTTGAGCTGTTCTTTTCCTTCCATTAGGAGAGAGGGCTCCACGTGACCTCTGCTTTCATCTCTTTTCTTTATTTTCCCACCCTCTAGCCGTCCTTAGTCTGGGAACATCTGGATCTGCACCCAGAGATGACACCCATGCAGTCCTCTTCTGGCTCCGAGGGTGGACTGACTATTTAGTTGAATGGTATTGACAAGACAGTGAAGGGACTTGCAAACTGTATAAGGACCAGAGGCAAAAGCCAGCTCTGAGTGGATTCTTTCTTTGATCAGTTCTTTATCTCTGGAGTACCATCTATTTATTGGTGCTGGAATGACAACCACCAATGGTAAGTATCTCCCTGTGGATACTTCAAGGACTGTAGTGAAAGAGGGCTTGTATGGTCACTTGGGTAAAATATAGGAACCTTCTCTGGTTACTCAGGGCAAGACTTTAGTGCTATGTTGACAATTAAGAAGGAATACCTGTCTTTTTAAGTGCTCTGTGATATTCCATGTGAAATGTGATCCTGCCTGGGAGGGTCAAACGTATTTTCTACCACCTCCTGTGTTCTCCTTCATCTTCAGAGCAGGGAGTCTCACCTTGGAAATTTCCAGATTCAGCTCAGCTGAAATGAATGTATTTTTGTCTTCATTCAAAGACAGGAAAAGAGGGAGTTTTTTAAATATACTTTTTTTCAGATCTGTTTATCAGATCCTAGGAAGACTGGGAACAAAGGCATTCATTTTTACTGTATCAGGATTTGGAGTTTGTGAACTACTTTTTTTGGCAGCATATTAATGACTCCATATAAGTCTACATCATGTACTGATCACTGCTCTGGATACATTATTTGTACTGTGAGTATTTCTTCTTCCAGTATAGCTATTTGCAAATCATTTTAGTATCCCTGATGGTGATTGTGAATTTGCACCTAGAACTTGATTAGGAGCCTTTGGTCCATGCATGCTGAAGGATCTTTAGAGATTACAGGTCAGGGTACTTTGTACCTTACTATGAGCACAGAGCCGAGGGTTAAATTTTCCAAACTGCTTCCATACTGACTGCTCTGTTATGAATTTTTTTTTTAGTAGAAAACTCTGCAAGAATTTATGCTCTCCCAGCAGTGCTCACTTCATGATGTAAATGTCACACTGAAGGGGAACAGGCAAAGCAGTAGATTCAGGAACTTCATGGTCTGCAAGGATCCTCAGCATACAGCAGGGCTGACTGAAAAGGGAACATTCTTCCTGGTGCTAAATGGTCTGGGCTATGAGGGAGGCTCACAGGAATAATGCCAGGCCTTGCTGTGTTAGAGACACCAGGTGACTGAAAGACAAGGCAGACTGTTGCATTTCTGGTTGCTTCTGTCTCCTAGAAATGGCTGATCACTGTGATATATATGGTAAGAACCAATCAAAGACAGCCAAGGACTCAACTCTGTGCTCCCTCTTTGTAATCCCATAAAAACTTCCCTCCCTGAGCCTTGCTCAACATTTTAGCACACAAAAGCCTGTAATCATTTCACCTAACCTGCCTTCTCCCCTTCATGTGAAATCCGACCTCACGTCACAGTCTGGTGGCTATGCCCATCTCTCCTGATTCTCTTCTCACTTTCTCTCACAAAGTATCCACAATCAATTACATGTATTTTGTTCACATCTTAGCATCAGCTTTTTGGAGGAAATGAATCTGAGCAAACACAGAGCTCCAAGGCAGAAGCAGGGTATCAAGGAGAGGGAAAATACTACAACCCAGAGGACAGGTAACAGTAGCGTGGAGCAGAGTGGAGACAATAGAGATGGAGACAACCAAACTTTGCCTTTCTGTCAAAGATAGAATGTCAAGAAGCAAGATACAAACCCACAGAAAGAAAGAATCTAGGCACTTGGCAGCTCAGTGCAAAAGCCCCATGTTCAATCATCAACATCATGATAAAGAAAGAGAAAAGTTACTAGACTGGCTGCTAGGATATGTGCTGAGGAGGAAGTGGCCATCCAAGATGCCTCCATGGTTTTAGGGCTAAGAAGTGGAAAGGTAGAGTCTCTTTCACCTGAGATGCTAAAGCCTGTGAGGAGAACATGTTCTAGGAGTGACACTAAAGGCTTAATTCAGGATCTAGAAGGCTGGCGATAATATTAGCTATGTAAAAGGAAATGTCACAGGGACTGTTGCTTTCCTGAGCTTGATTTTGCAATAGGCTGTTGGTTGAAGACACAACTTTCAGAGTTGCTGTGTAGCTGGCATTTGATGCCACAGAACTGAAGGTTATAACTAAGAGGTAAGCGATCATCATAGGGAAAATCTAGGATCCAAGTCCTAGCACACTCTAGATTTGGCAGGTGAGCAGAATCCATCAAGTGACAAAGGCCAGACAAATGCAGATTTATCCTAAGTGCCTGATGAAGTTCACGTTTTAACCAAGTGTGTGGCCCCTTTTGAGAGTAAATACTGTTTGCCTCAAAGTCTGTTTTGTGTGACTATTTTAATTTTTGCAATAGGGTCTTGATAAGCAGTTCAGGCTCTTGAACCTACTATGGATCCAGGCTGCCCTCAAACTCAGGCTGATCCTCCTGCCTCAGACTCTGGAGTACTGGGATTACATCTGTACACCACCATGCCTGGCACTTATGTGATTTCAAAGGAGCTGTGTCATGAGTTTTTCCTTAGTAGGTGCCCTCACATCTTTCTCTGTGCTTTTACTGTTTTACTTGTGTTAGCTTAGTTTCCCTTCCTCCCAGGTCCTGCTGTCATAGTTCCCTGGGGTGGCCTGGAACAGCAGTAGTCTGCAGCTTTAATGCCACTCCACCCATCCCCCACCCACTGGAGGAGGCCTCACCAGGCCCCTTATGACGTCATAGTTTACTCAGCCAATGGGACGACAGGTCTGGTGCCCCGCCCCCTGGGTTGAGTTTAGCGTCTCCCTGGTTACACCTTTTGTAGGTAGTTGGTGGATCTGAGAGGAGTGTGTTTGAGTTTCCCTGTGATAGAAGCGACTGTCATGAAGTGGTCCCACCCCTTTCCCCCGCCCTGTCTTCCTATTCCGGAAGAAATTCGAAGGCAGAAATTGGCTGCGGCCAAAAAAAAAGGTAAACCGAACAGGGTCTCAATTCCTGGACCCAGAGCAAGCCCCCAGCTAGCAACTTCTTGGCAGAGTCTGTACCCCGCTCTGAGAAAATGTGGAGGGACCCTCAGCACTCCGGTGCCCCTTCAAGGCCTGTTACAGATCCTCTCCTCACAGCCCAAATGCGTCCACCTCCGGGGGACACTCCTTTAGGCCTCACCTGGGGCTTGGCTCTTGCTTCCTATCCATCCTCACACACTTTGCCTCCCTGAGCCCTACATTGGGGGACCTCTTTCCCTTCCGCTGTCTGAACACAGAGGAGGGTGGGGAGCAGAGGATTCTGCGGACAGAGAGGGAGGAGTAGAGTGCACTTAAGACCCTTTCCATTGGACGCCCTCATCACTAACCCTCACCTGGCCCTTAATCTTCCCACTTGGACCCCTAAAGCAGCTTTAGCCCCCTTCTGGTTTCTCTGGTGAAGACACAGATTTCTCCCTGGAAGGGCATGTGAACATGGGAGTGGGTATAGAGGTTTTGGCCACTGGGCTCCTTAACTTAGACACTGACAACATAAAACCTTCATCAGGGACCTCAAAAGGTTGACAGTCTTTCTGGGTGACCAGAGTAGATCAGATTTGTGTGAGCTTTTTCCCCAGGAGTTGACTCTACAGAGAGACTCAGAATGTTTTCTAATTGTCCCCTTTACCTTTGACTCTCCTGTGTGTGGTACTGATGATTAGACCCACCGCCTTCAAAAGTACAGAAAGCTGTCTATTACTGAGCTGCACTCCAGCCTGTTACTGTCTGTTTCCCCCCATTACGTCTAGGGATGAAGTCCAGGGAGCACAGGGTTCCATGCTTAGCCCTTTTTAGTTTTTATTATTTCTATTTGAGGAAGTGTTTTACTACTTTTATCCCCTCAGGTTTCCCTCATTCTTATCCTGCTGTTGCAACATCACCAGTATTTGGGGTTACAACCTACACCACAGTGACAAGTTTCTCTTTTCTGTCATTTCTTTCTTCCTGCTGTTCAGCCATGTTAACTTGTGTGCTTACTGACTGACTGACCATCACAGTGTGTTGTAGGGCTGTTGGCAGCATGAAGCAGGTGGTGTGCATAAGAGTGTTCTATAGGAGGATGTAAACAAAGTGGCTTACTGTTTTTGTGAGTATCATTGCTGTTCTTTCCACAGTTAAGAGAATTCAAAAAACAGAAGAAGCATGATTGCTTGCTGGCGGATAAAAGAGTAAGTTTTTAAAATGCATAAAACCTAAGACAGCCAGTGGTGGAGAATGTCACCCACATGAAGCTGTGTCATGGCTGGCCAGGCAGCTAAGGATGGGGCTGCAATGGCAGTAGAGGGTCAGAGTGCAGAGGAGAACAATGTCAGGTGCTAAGAATTCTGCATTTAGGGCTGGGCCTGGTATAGCTCAGAGGGAGAGTTTCAAAGAGAGCACTGCAGCTTGGGCCAGAGAAGGGAAAGCGGGACAGATACTAGGTGATAGAAGGGTCTGAGGTCACTAGTCCCTCCCTCCATCTACTGTCCCCTGTGCCTTGGGTAGGTGCATGAGGTAGAGGAGGAGCGGGACAGGAGGGCTGATAAGCCTCCTGTCCAGCGGAGTGAACTGGAGAAACACGTGGGTGAGTGGGCACAAGGGTGATCTGGGGAGAGCGGGGTACCCAGGCTGTGGGTGGGGCTTACACTGCCCTAGGAGACAGGGTGGACTTAAGGGCACAGTGGTAAAGGGAAGGGCATCTGTGGCAGGAGCTGGCAATTTAGTCCTATCTCTGAGCCTCAGTGTCCCCACTTGCAGAGAGGGTATTGTGCCCCTGCCAACCCCCACCCAGGATCCATACAGGAACATGGCTTCAGGCCTGGCCATGATGTGGGTGTGAGGAATCAGTCATGAGGAAGCCAAGGCCCAAGCAAGGAGCCTGGAGTGGGGGCTGAGCACTGAGAGCTTGTTAGGGCCCAGAGACCTGGACCCTTTCCCTACCTCCTTTGTCACCTGTGCCCCAGCCCTGCAGCCCCAAGCAGGGCCATGCCTGGAACATCAGCAGCTCCTGTGGGAGGTGCAGAAGGTGAAGAAGGAGCTGGAGGGCGCCTTGGGGCAGCTAAAGGAAGAAAACCTGGCTCTGCGGAACAAAATGAGGGAGCAGGAGGAGCGCCTTCTGCAGGTTGACACCAGGGCAGAGCTGTGCTCTGTGCAGGCAGAAGAGCACAAGAACATCGTGCACAACATGGAGGAGCAGCAGGAGATGATTGATGCCTTAGAGCTTCAGAACTGCCTGATAAAGGAGCAGCTGGCCCAGATGCAGGACAGCTTCCAGAGGCTGGTGCGTGTTCACTGCTCACCAGGCTCCTCACCACCAGGACCTTCCAGGCAGAGCAGCACACTAACCCCTCTGGCTCCTTCCCCCCTGCAACACATTGGGCCACTGTCCCCCTCAATCGTGAAAGTGTCCTGTGAGTCAGAACCCTGTGGGGCTTCTCCTGCAGAGAGAGGATGATTATCTGTCCTGCCTTGCACCGTAGACACCCAGGTGGGGTCTTGGGTCGGCCCGTGCTGGTGGCACTGATTTCCATTCTCTGTAGATAGAAGAGAACACCAATATAGTGACCACCCTGAGCTCAGAGCAGCTCAGACACAAGGAGCTGACTTGGAAGCTGGGCCAGCTGCAGGAGGAGATCACGCAGCTCAAGGCAGTGGTAGGTGACTCCTGCACCATGGGACTGGGCTAGGACAGAGGTGCTCCCAATGGGGGTGGGAGGTGCTGGGGCCAGAACTGATCTGCCACAGCTGGACCACAAGTGACCCCAGAGTCCTGACGTGTCTGGCAGAGCAGTTGTGTGTCTTTTGCTTTTCGTCTCTGACCTTTAGAGGTGTGTGGCTCTGGGGTCCTCCCAGGTCCTAATGTCATTTCCCTGCCAGAAGCCTGAGTCATCCTACTGCTAGAAGGAAACAGGGTAGGAGGGGGAGGCTTCTTGGTGCAAACTGAAGCCTAGAGATCACTTAACACATGTGGCATGGCTCCATCTTATTCTCCATAGAGGTGGTGAGGTCCACATTCAAGAACAGAGGTTGCAGGACTGGAGACTGTGAACAGGAGACCAGTGGTTCAGAGGAGCCCCTAATGAGCTCAGGCTGCTGAAGCCCCAGGGTATGCCTGACCTCACTTCTCGGTCTCCTGCAGGTGGCGCTGAAGAGCCAGGAGGCCCTGGAGCTGCAGCAGCAGAGAGACCAGCTGCTGGGCATCCTCTGCCACAGAGCTGAGGACTGTTTACACCTGGCCTCTGAAAAACACGCTCTGCAACATCAGCTTCTACAGTCGTTTAAACAAGCGGTGAATGTACATCTGAAAGACCTGGAAGACCACAAGACCCTGGTTAGGTTTTACAAAGACCTGAAGACCACCCAGGTGATGGAGGTGCTGAGGCCGGGCTCCTGTCTGGGAGGATCTGGCTGCCTCTGATGTCTCACTTTCCATCCTTACCTACAGGAGGTCCTGTCAGCTTCCAAGCTTCAGAAGCAGCAGACATCCTTGCCTGGAGTTGTGGCACTGCCCGGGGAAGGTGAATGGAGGTGTCAGTGTTGCATGGGCTGAGGAGCACTCTGAGAATGAGTGGAGGAGGACGAGATGGCAGAGGGCTGCTCATTCTCTCCCAGAGGGTGGTGGCCCAGGGTGACCTGGTGAGGTGGGTGGAGGGGAGCGTAGGACTGCTCTGCCTCCCTCCTGACTGCTCCCAATATGAAATGAAGGGGAGGTGGAGGAAAGAAAAATGGAGAGTCCTCCGCCCAACAGCACCAGTCCTGAAGACGTGAGAGGCTCAAAGGCTGCGGTGAGCTGGGTTCTGCTTTGGTCCTTCCCTGGGTCTCCTTCCCTGCCTCTTGTACTGAGGTCCCTTTGGACACCCCAATACTTTGGATTCCCCATGCCCTCATTTCCCTGGACCTTCCCGGAAAGCAGTGGTTATGCCCCATCACTAGGAGCAACAGGTGCCAGTGGCAGAAGGATGCTCCATGCATCCTGTGATGTGGAGAGCTCCCCCACAGAATCACACCCTGCCTCCACAGATGGCATTTGTCAACAAAGGTCCCACCTTTGTGCAGAAACAGTGGGCTCAGCCACCCAGCCACCTGAAGGTTCAGAGGCAGCTAGGCCAGAGTTTGGCTTATGTGGCACTCCTGACCCAGGTCAAAGCTGAGGATGTGGCTTCAACTCCTAGGAGCAGTGGTGACCATGTGACCATGGTGCAGCCTCAGGGGAGGCTGTTCCACCAGGCTGGGAAGGGCAGGCAGAGCAGGTGGCCACAGAGCCCTGACTCTGGTGCTCTGCTTCCTTTTTTGTACAGGTGTCAGAGGAAAATGCAGAGATTAAGGAGCCAGTGCAGGAGCTGGAATGTCAACGCATGCTGCTCTCTGGTGATTGCAGCACCACTGATAAGCTGGGCCAGGGCTCCTGCAGCAGAGGCTGTAAGGTGTGGGATTCGGGAGGCCTGCAAGTGACCTCTGACTATTGTTGTTCTTTACACAGCAGAGCACACTGCGATCTGCCCCAAACTGGGGACAAACCTAACAGTGAGGCATTGTGAGGAGGAGGACACACAACAGGAGGAGGAGGAAGAACAAGTGAAGGAGGAGGAGGAGCAGAAGGAAGAGAAGGAGGAGGAGGAGGAAGGAGTGGAGGAGGAGGGGAATGAACAAGTGGAGAAGGAGGAGCACAAAGGAGTGGAGGATGACGAGAAGGAGCAGGACAAGCAGGTGGAGGAGGAGGATGAACAACTGGAGGAGGAGGAACAGAAGACACAGGAGAAGGAAGAGGATGATGAACAAGAGGAGGACGATAAAGGAGATGAGGATGAGGAGTACTGGAACCAGGAGGAGGAGGAGAAGGAGGAAGTTGAACAAGTGGGAGTGGAGGAGAAGGAAGAAGGAGAGGAAAAGAAGGAGGAGGAGCTGGCAGGGGAGGAGGAAGTGGAAATGGAGGAGGAGGAGCAAGAGGAGGAGCAAGAGGTGGAGGAGGAGGAGAACAAGGAGCAGGAGGAGGAGGAAGAGCAGCAGGAGGAGGATGAACATACCCCACAGCTATTCTCAGTGAAGGGAGAGGAGCAGGTAGGTCTGGGTGTCTCCTTAGGGCTGGGTCCCTAAGAAGCCCCTCTCCCTGAGGGTAAAGCTGCTTGTGTTGCAGGAGGAGGTTCTCTGCCTGCAAGAAGACTGCAGGTCCTGTCAGGGCGAGTTCCAGGGCACTGCACAGAGCCATGGTGAGGAGCCCACTGTGGGATCCCCACACTCCAAGGATGTTGCAGCCTCAGATGAGCAGTGTGGTGAGTGCAGGCCTGGGAGGGGCGGGCAGGGGCAGGCAAGGGGCGCACACTCAGTGCCTGCTGCTCTCTCCCAAAGGTCCTGCAGAGGGGAGCCCCGCACACACTGAACAGCCTCCAGTTGAAGAGGCTGTGGTCGAGTGCCCCCCAGAACCCCAGCTGCTTGAGAATGAGAATCTGCACAGGGCCCTGGCTTGGGCCTTCACCCCTGAGTCAGTGATTTCTGCTTTGGAACAGCACTGAGGAGTAGGAAACCATAGAACCCAATGCTCGGTGCCCTCTTTCCCCCATTCAGTCCCTGCTTCCCTGTCCCTCCTCTCCTGACTCTTTTCCTGCCAGAAAAACTCCACCAATTTATTTCTTCCTAGAGATATTTGAATTCCAACAATTCTTTAAAATATCAAACAATGTACGTTTATTTCAATAAAAATGAAAAAAACCACGAGAAAAATATTTCAATAAAAATTTTAAATGTTTTAAAATTTTAAATCTTTTTTATAGAGTAAAACAAGACAAATAATGAAACAGTTTCAAAAAGGTTAGTAGGAGCGTGACAATACTTGAAATCCTGCATGATGCTGTCTTCGTAGTAGTTATTTGGAATACGGGATGTAGGCATGCTATTGCATCTAAACAATATTAGCACAAGACATTGTTTTCAAGGAACAAATAGAAGCTAGCTGTGCAATTATCTTCACTATAATTTTTTCTTCTTTTCCCTATCACAGTTTGAATTTTAAAACTTACTTATTGTTCTGAAGGACAGAGGGAGGAGACAGGATGGGTTCCTGGTGACCTGGTCCTGATGGTCCCATTTATGCTGATTTTCATTTGAATGGCAATAAATGGATTCCATCAGTTTCCTGGCAAGGAAGGGCAAGGATCAGATGAGGGGCAGGGAGCAGATGCTGCCCGCAGAGGGCACCTGTCAGGCAGCACAGAGCCCATGTTTGAGCTGGTCCAGCAGGGCTGGATAACATCTCCCTGCCTTGTCACCTGGATCCTGCTAGGCTGTGGTGAGGGGGCTGCCGTGGAGGCTCCCAGGGCAGCCTGTTCTAATGGGCCTCAGACCGGAGCCTGACCTGACAGTGGGGAGGGACAGGTTCAGGGGCCCGCCCTGCCCTGCAGTGCAGCATTTCCAATTCATGCCCTGGTTGTGGCTCTGTCTGCACATGGGGCCTGTTCCTTCTATTTAGCTTGGCCTCTTGCTGGCTGCTGCCCCTCTTCCTTGAGGTTCAATTTGTGGCCCTGCTCCTTGGTGGTAAGAATGGCTGTTTTTGTTTTTTGATAGGAATACTCTATGGGACTTCCGTAACCCTGGAACTCCTATGCCATGTCAATTTGACTCTAAGTGAGGAACTCAGTTCATTCTCATGAGATAGACATGAGACTCTGGGAACAAGGTGTGGGGTGTAGTGCCTTTTAACCTGAAATGTCCCTCGGAATCTGTGTGTGGAAGTTGGTTGGGTGGGAAAGGAAGCATACTCTGCAGAGGACCTGTCCACTGCTGAGGTCAGGGAGTAGATGTGCTCTTAGGGTGTGAGGCTGCTGGGAAGGGTGTTGCTGGCCACCGTGGCCTGAGCACCTTTCCCTCGGCCATGTCCCTCTTCCCTCCTGTTTCTGCCTTTCAGCCAGTCAACCAGAGACTAGAACTGTGAGCCCAAAGAAACCCCTCTGCCTCTAAACTGCAGGTGTCAAGTATTTTGTCTCAGAGATGGAAAGTAAGAAGACATGAAGGTTTCAGGACATGTGCAAAATGCAGACAAGTTCTTTCTGACCAGAATGTAGCATGCACAGGAAGTTCCCATTTGAAACCTCCTGAGACTTGGCTTCACTCTCTGCAGTTTGTCAGCAATCTGGCCGTCTGAGCTCCCAGCAGAAACTCCCATTAGACTGAGCTTATGGCATTGCAGGGCTTCTGTAGCACACAGCTGTTAACATCCCCAAATCCCTTCCTCAAGACTGTTCCAATGCACTGAACAGCATGGACTCATGTAGTCACTGACTGGACTCCACTTCTTTAGTCCCAGTTCTTTGTGTTTGCTCACTGGATCCAGTACCTGGCACCCACAATTGAAGGAGGACAGTTTTCTGTGGCCCACAGTTTCAGGAAACTCAGTCCATGTTTGGCTGGCTCTAAAGCAGATACATCATGGCAGAAGGGCAAAGCTGCTTGCTTCATGGCAGCTGGGAGGCGCAGCAGATTGATTTTTCCTGAGAAGATGGCGCCAGGTGTCTGATATAGCACCCCGTGTTACACTTCAAGGACACATCAGGAGGTGTGCTTTTCTAAGCTGCCTGTCAGTTCTAAAGTTAATGCAATCCATCTTTAGTGCCACAGTAGAGTTCCAGTGGGGTTCTTATTAGAAACAACACAACTTAGGACACAGATGAAATGACAAATGTTTATAGAACTAAGTTCGTTCATCAGCTTACCATTAGTACTGAGCAATGTCTTCCAAAATCAAAATGAAGTTCATGTTTCTGGTATACAAAAGTCAAAAAATGTGACAGCACCAGCTTTCCCTACATAGTGGATTCAAGCGAGTCCTATGTTCACAGGAAAATCAACTCCACAATGGAAAATGTGTTAGTGTTGGGGCTGTAGCTAAGCCTAATGGTAGGGTTATTGTTAGAGTAAATATTCCTGATTAGTTTTTGTGTGCTGATTTTGGTTGAGCAGCTGAGACCAAATTTGGATGAGACCCCAAATATACATTTCATTTAACATTATTGATTTGCTCTGTCTTGAAGGAAAATTATCAAAATAATCAAACTAACTTCTCAAATAAAATCTGCAAGCACTCGCAGACTTTATTATGAAGCTCATTACTTTTCTGAAAGGTCCTGATGCTGTGCTGTGAGGACTGGGATCCTTGCACTAATGACACAGTGCATGCATGAGAGCTAGAGCCGCCCATGGGGTCAGAGCACCAGGGAAGCTGAGTCCACGCCCGCTCAGCGATGGGAGACAGGGCAAAGCTGCATCCTTGCACCCCCGAGGGCCACTGAAATGCCCTCTGCTGCTTCCTGGGAGGGTCTGAGCTCCTCCATCAGTGCAGCTAACATGTTTCCATGACACCGCTTCTCTGAAGGGCAAGAGGGACACCAAGACTGCAGCCCTGAGCACGCATTCAACAAAACCCTTAGTGAGAAAGGAACTGAAAGTTTGCTACTTTTTGAAGGCTAGGTTGTCTGTACAATCACCAAAACCAACTTTATATTGAATATTTTCCAATTTCATTATTAAAAACTCAATCTCTCCCTACCTACAAGGTTAGAGTGTGCTTTGGAGGGCCTGCTGGGATTATTTTTCTCTGATTCAGGGAGAACAACCTCAAAAAAGAAAGAAAACACATTGGGTTTTAGACTTGGCTCAGGCTGCCATGAACCTGTGCCCGGATGCCCACCCTTTTCCGCCCTCTAGATACAGAATCCTTCGCTCTCCCAAGACAAGAACAGGGCATTATCACATTCGCCCGGTAGCTGCTGTTCATCGATCTGGTATTCATTCTACACCCTATGATTAAACCTTCAGGTAAATCAAAGCTTTCTAATTCCATAAGTGAAGCAATGAGTTCATAGGGCAGTAGGATAACATTCCATGCTTTTTTGATTTAACATTTGCATAGTATCGTCTGGAGAAATATAAGAACTTTAAAATTAAAGGAAGAGCAGCAGGGACAAAGACACTCAGTGAGCCTACTTGCTTCTCAAGTCCCTTCTACCCAGACACCCACTATCATGGAGACTGTGCTATGGGAGTGAGCGCTCTGCTTGGGTGGCGACAGCCAGGGCCCAGAGCCCTGAGCACCAGCACAAACTCACAGCGATGCCAGGGAGGACATGGGACTTCCCAGAGCCGCTGCTCTGGTTGAAGAACAGGAGGACAGGAGCAGCTGAGCTCAGGCTGAGCTCTCTCCACTGCAGTGAGGCTCAGCCGGTCAGCGCCTCTGTCATCTTCTGCCTCCCTTGTCCACCTGTCTGCCATCCCCACCCAAACCACCACCCACTGTCATCTCGAGACCCATGGCAAGGGCTCCACCTGCTATGCCTGGTGATCAGGGAGGATCAGGGTGGTTTCACTCACAAACTCACCCTGCAGAAGTCAGCCTGAGTCTGTTTCCACCATCGAGCAGCCATGAGCACAGCCAGGCAGAGCTCCAGCATCATGCAGATCAGCATCAAAAGCATGGTGTCCTGCAGTGCAGGGTGGTGGAATCAGCCATGGCTTCCCACCTAGGTGAAGGTGACTCCACCATCAGAGAAGGAGCAAGGCCATGGGGAGGAAGAGTGCTCCTCCCGCCCCAGTGGTTGGCTTGTTCTGCCCCTTTCTTTGTGAGCTCCCTTGAGAGGAAGACAGGATGAGGAGTCAACTCACTTGTGCACACACTGGAGCCTTCCCCTTTGAGACCTGGCTGAAACTGCCCGTATTGTTCAGTCAGTCCGGGGCAGCGGGTGCAAAACCTTCCAGTACCCACAGTCAATAGCTCCCATTCTGGCGTCAGTTTTGCTCCTCTGTGTGAACCTGGCCAACGGTCCAAATTTCTCCGGCTTCTGTTTGCTTTGTTATCAAACACAGATGGTAGCATTTGCTTCTCTGGATGTGTTTTCTAGCCTTTCCCATGACTTTATGAGGTAGGAAAAATCATACAAAGTAGTAAACTTTCTCCATTTCTATAACTCGGACTCAAAAGAGACTCAAGGCCTGGGACACAGGGACTCCCACATCTGTCCTGAGGCTCAGTGTGCATCATGAGGGCCGAGGACAGGAAAGGGAGGCTGTATGTCACAGTTTCACGCCCAGTTCACAGACACACAGTGAGGAGCAGCATAACCTGTGTGTGTTACCACACCTACCCTGGCAAGCACACCTGACTCAGTCTCTCTCATAAAATATTCCAGCATGCGATCTTATTTCTGCACCACACACATCGTCTTGTCCCTCCAGAATGGTACCAAGGCCACAGCTGTCTGTGCCACGTGTAAGTATGTGCCAACCCCATGACACCTGTTTTTTTTTTTAATTTTATTTAAGAGGAAAAAGAGAAAACCACAAAACAAAACAAAGTGGTGTAAGGGGACACGTAATACAGAACTATAAAAAAAAAGTAACTAAGAAATCACCTGTTAATAGATTACATATTATCATCTTGGAAATAGTTGCTCAAATCACAGTATCAAAGAATACAAAGTGGACATTCAAACAGAGAGACTGCAAACAGCTGTGTTCAGTGATCCAAAAACATTAATATAGTCAGCTATTTAACACCCCTAAACACACTTGCTGTTATATCCGTTAGAGCCTTTTTTCCCCTCTCTTTTTTACAACAAAATTTACACATTTTGGATTTTATTACTCCTTAGTTCTTATTACTTTTTTGGGGGGGGAGAGAATACAGTCAAATATGGCAAAACAAAGCTGTCAGTCAAA